AAATACCCAGTAGTGAAATTGCTGGATCGTATGGTAGCTCTATTTCCAACTGTTTGAGGAACTCCATACTGTTTTCCAGAGTGGCTGTACCAGCTTGCATTCCCACCAACAGTGTAGGAGGGTTCCCCTTTCTCCGCATCCTCGCCAACATCTGTCGTTTCCTGACTTGTTAATTTTAGCCATTCTGACTGGTGTGAGGTGGTATCTCATTGAGGTTTTGATTTGGATTTCCCTGATGCCAAGCGATGTTGAGCACTTTTTCATGTGTCTCTTGGCCATTTAGACGTCTTCTTTGGAAAAGTGTCCGTTCATGTCTTCTGCCCATTTCTTGACTGGATCATTTGTTCTTTGGGTGTTGAGTTGGATACGTTCTTTATAGATTTTTGATGCTAGCCTTTTATCTGATATGTCATTTGCAAGTATCTTCTCCCATTCTGTCGGTTGTCTTTTGGTTTTGTTGACTGTTTCTTTTGCTGTGCAAAAGCTTTTTATCTTGAAGTCCCACTAGTTCATTTTTGCCCTGGCTTCCCTTGCCTTTGGTGATGTTTCTAGGAAGAAGTTGCTGTGGCTGAGGTCGAAGAGGTTGCTGCTTGTGTTCTCCTTTAGGATTTTGATGGACTCCTGTCTCACATTTAGATCTTTCAACCATTTTGAGTCTATTTTTGTGTGTGGTGTAAGGAAATGGTCCAGCTTCATTCTTCTGTGTGTGGCTGTCCAATTTTCCCAACACCATTTGTTGAAGAGACTGTCTTTTTTCCATTGGACATTCTTTCCTGCTTTGTCAAAGATGAGTTGACCATAGAGTTGAGGGTCCATTTCTGGGCCCTCTGTTCTGTTCCACTGATCGATGTGTCTGTTTTTGTGCCAGTACCATACTGTCTTGATGATGACAGCTTTGTAATAGAGCTGGAAGTCCGGAATTGCGATGTCACCAGCTCTGCTTTTCTTTTTCAACATTCCTCTGGTTATTCGGGGTCTTTTCTGGTTCCATACAAATTTTAGGATTATTTGTTCCATTTCTTTGAAAAAAGTGGATGGTATTTTGATAGGGATTGCATTGAATATGTAGATTGCTGTAGGTAGCATTGACATCTTCACAATATTTGTTCTTCCAATCCATGAACTTGGAACTTTTTCCATTTCTTTGTGTCTTCCTCAGTTTCTTTCATGAGTATTTTATAGTTTTCTGAGTACAGATCTTTTGCCTCTTTGGTTAGATTTATTCCTAGGTATCTTATGGTTTTGGGTGCAGTTGTAAATGGGATCGACTCCTTAATTTCTCTTTCTTCTGTCTTGTTGGTGTATAGGAATGCCACTGATTTCTGTGCATCGATTTTATATCCTGCCACTTTACTGAATTCTTGTAAGAACATATTATGAGCAACTATATGCCAGCAGATTAGATAATCTGGAAGAAATGGATGCATTCCTAGAGATGTATCAACTACCAAAACTGAACCAGGTAGAAATAGAAAACTTGAACAGACCTATAACCACTAAGGAAATTGAAGCAGTCATCAAAAACCTCCCAACAAACAAAAGCCCAGGGCCAGATGGCTTCCCAGGGCAATTCTACCAAACATTTAAAGAAGAATTAATACCTATTCTTCTGAAACTGTTCCAAAAAATAGAAATGGAAGGAAAACTTCCAGACCCATTTTATGAGGCCACCATTACCTTGATCCCAAACCAGACAGAGACCCCATCAAAAAGAATAATTACAGACCAATATCCTTGATGAACATGGATCAAAAACTCTCACCAAAATACTAGCCAATAGGATCCAACAGACATTAAAAGGATTATTCACCATGACCAAGTGGGATTTATCCCTGGGCTGCAAGGTTGGTTTAACATCCACAAATCAATCAATGTGATACAATACATTAATAAAAGAAAGAACAAGAACCATATGATCCTCTCAATAGATGCAGAAAAAGCATTCGACAAAGTACAGCATCCTTTCTTGATTAAAACTCTTCAGAGTATAGGGATAGAGGGTACCTACCTCAATATCATAAAAGCCATCTATGAAAAACCCACAGCGAATATTATTCTCAATGGGGAAAAACTGAGAGCTTTCCCCCTAAGATCAGGAACATGGCAGGGATGTCCACTCTCACCACTACTATTCAACGTAGTATTAGAAGTCCTAGCCATAGCAATCAGACAACAAAAAGAAATAGATGGCATCTGAAATGTCAAAGAATAAGTCAAACTCTCCCTCTTCGGAGATATGATACTTTATGTGGAAAAGCCAAAAGACTCCACCCCAAAATTGCTAGAACCCAAAGAGTATATGTGTTTATAGATGAAGGGAATTTTCTTGAACTTGGCGCATTGCCTGATATTTCTTATGTGCATTATAATTATATTCCTAGTAAGATTATTTAACCCCTAATGATCTTCATTTTCCAAGGTAACTCTAAAAATCACCATTATTGGTATATTGCCTGGAACACCTTTTTCAGTCTAAAATTTACAAGTCCATACAACTTTTTTACAATTTAACTTTTCAACAAGAAGTTACAGTTTGGCAAAATACATTAAATCAAGTACTTTGGGTACACAAGTATTTAAGGCTATTTAATTAGCAGAGACACTGCAGGTTGAAATTTATTGAAGATTTGTAATTTGGTGGTTTATTTGGAAACTTGTTTTCATATTAAAATATTTCTTCAGAATTTTCAATAATTGATTTTAATTGAAGATCTGATATATAAGCTATAATTATGAACAACATGCATAGAAAAATATTAAATCTGATAAATTCTATTCAAAATTTCCTGCAGCTAGCCACCACTTTGATGTATGTAGATCAATATCAAATATTTTTTTAGAATGTTTATTTCAAGGATAGATTATGTTGCTAAAATATCTTTGAGAAATTACTTTTTTATATTGTTAATTTTGTCCTTTTACATTTATATTAGCCTTTTGTATTTATTTCCTGTATTCATTTATAAAACTCATGATATTGATGATGTAATTTTATTATATTTATTTAAAACACATATATACTTGCATTCTGTTCTCATTATTCATTGTCATTATGTTCTCTTACATCATTATGAACACTGAATTAGCAAATTTTGAATCCTTGCTCCTAGAAGAAATGCAGAATTAGATTCCTGCATAACCTCCTGTCACAACATTTTCATTAATCAATACAGAAGTTTATTTTTTTATGTATATAAAGTGTTTAAAGACATTTTATTTAATCTGTACTGTTGATTCATTAACATTGAGCTCATGGCCAACCGCACTATAACTCTTTTTTTTTTTTTAAGGTTATTTATTTATTTATTTATTTGACAGAGAGAGGGAACACAAGCAGGGTAAGTGGGAGAAGAAGAAGCAGGCTTCCCGCTGAGCAGGGAGCCCGATGCGGGGCTCGATCCCAGGACCCCGGGATCGTGACCTGAGCCGAAGGCAGACGCTTAACGACTGAGCCACCCAGGCACCCCAACACTATAATTTTTGCTTTAACAAAGCTTATCTAGCAGATTTTCTCCTTAAGGCACATCTCTGCCTTCTTGAACTTAAGAATTAAGAATGCTAGCCCTATTGGAGGGGGGACGGGGGGGTGGACACATCATTTTAAATAGTAAAGTCACCAATGAAAGCAGTTACTGTAAAAATGTGGCACTAAATAGGTCACAAAATGGATACCTCTTTACAGTATGAGAGCTGAAACAAGGCAGAGCATTGCCTTGTGAAGGTGCAGCAAAAATTGATATTGGAGATAACAAATAATTTATAGAGAGTAGGCAAAATTGGAAATACAGAATCTGCAAATAATGAGGATTGGTGTATAGCTATATAATACGATATAATTTTAAATTATCCAACATAAAAACTTTGAAAAATAGAGCAGAAAACAATTTATAATCTTACTACCATAAGATTTTTTTAATATTTTCCAATTTTTGTCTCTGATATATATATTTTCAAATATTGCATGGACAGCTGCTCTTTTTGTCTTCCACCCAGTTTGCCACTGGAAAGCCCTCCTCCTCCATTGATGGATTTTAGATGGAGCTGTCTTTACCCAATGCTTCAAGGATGGTTATGTGACCTATGCCTAAAAAGTATGATATTCACCAGCTAAATTCACTGATATTGGGATAGAGCCAGAGTGGTGCCATAAGATTTTTGCTAGATTCCTGGAGAAGAGACCCTTGCTCTTTTATACTAGACTTGAATTTGCTGCTACTGTCTTTTCCATAGAATCTAAGACTGAACCTAATGCAGAAGGAGGCAGAGTAGAGAGACTAAGAAAAACCAAATCCTAATGAAATAATTTAATTGGTCTTGAATTAATTTATTTTTGTAAAATTGTATATATTTAAGATGTATAATGCAGTATTTTGATATATATGTATATATATAGCGAAATTACTGCAGTCAAGCTAATTAACATATCTATCATCTCATAGTTAACTTTTGTGCTTGTGTGGTAAGAACACTTAAGATTTACTCTTTTAGGGCGCCTGGGTGGCTCAGTTGGTTAAGCGACTGCCTTCGGCTCAGGTCATGATCCTGGAGTCCCAGGATCGAGTCCCACATCGGGCTCCCTGCTCAGCAGGGAGTCTGCTTCTCCCTCTGACCCTCTTCCCTCTCGTGCTCTCTATCTCTCATTCTCTCTCTCTCAAATAAATAAATAAAATCTTTAAAAAAAAAAAAGATTTACTCTTTTAGCAAATTTCAAATATACAAATTATTAACCATAGTCAACATGCTATAAATTAGGTCTCTAGAACTTAAACTCATCCTGTATAACAGAAACCTTGTACCTTTTCACAAACATCCCTGTCTCCTTCCCCATCTCTGGTAATCACCATTTTCTCTGCTTCTATGATTTTGACTTTTCAAATTCAGTGATAGCCATACAATATTTTTTTTCTCTGCCTGAATTATTTTATTGAGCATGATGCCCTCTGGGTTCATCCAGGTTCATCTATGTTGTCACAAATGACAAGATTTCCTTTTTCTTTAAGGCTGAATGATACTCCAGTGTATGAGGTATGAATAATGTGAACAGTGCCCCAGTGAGCATGGGAATGCAGATATTTCTTTGAGGTAATTTTATTTCCTTTGGATATATACCTGAAAGTGGGATTATTTGATCATGGAACAAGCAATAGGTTTTGTATATGCCTGCATGCACATGTGTCTATGTGTGCATGCACACTTATGATTGATCTTAGGTGAAAATAACAACTGAATTAATTCCATATAACATTTAAGATCATATTACATTATATGTTAAAAAAAAAGAAGAGGTAACAGAAGGGGAAGAATGAAGGGGGGGAAATCGGAGGGGGAGACCAACCATGAGAGACTATGGACTCTGAGAAACAAACTGAGGGTTCTAGAGGGGAGGGGGTGGGGGGATGGGTTAGCCTGGTGATGGGTATTAAAGAGGGCATGTTCTGCATGGAGCACTGGGTGTTATATGCAAACAATGAATCATGGAACACTACATCAAAAACTAATGATGTAATGTATGGTGATTAACATAACATAATAAAAAAATATATATATATATATAGTTAAAAGCAGGTCAACCTAGAAAATTATGTGTCCAAATTCCAGACTCTTAAGTATTATCCTAAACATCTTTAAATATATATTTTTCGCTTTATTCTAGTATATTGTAGAGTATCATATGATTTTGATAGTTACATGTTTAATTAAACTGAAATAATACAATGGTGAGAAATCGAAAGAACAAAATGTAAAAAAAAAAATGATCATATGACAACATTCAGTTGCTCAGGTATGAGGGAGGATATCACTGAGTTCACCAAAAGAAGATCAAAAACAAAGAGGTTTCTAGAGGTTTTTTAAGGGAATAATTTTAATGATGGGCCATACAATCCAAGCTGGAGAAAGATATAAAGGAAGACAGGACGGAAGTAATATATTACTTGAAAAATGATTGGTTTTACTGGACTTGTTGGGAGAACCAGAGGATCAGAGAAGCTTGCAATTGATATTTTTGGGGAGTGATATTACTAGGAGAAATTACCTGTGGAAGAGAATGGTTAAAGTGAAATGAGTAGAAATAGAGAAGCAGAGTTGAGTATCAGAAGATGACAGAGCTATGGACTGGATATTAGATGAGAACAAGGTGTTTACATGTCCATCATATGAGTAATTCCATATATAAACTAAATACAATAAGTAATTTATAGGTACTTTGTTTAATTTTAGTGTTCAATTTTGCTTTGATAAAATAAAAAGAGCTTCAGAGTCAAGATCTCTGTCTAAACCTGGGTCTGCTATAAACATGTATCTTAGGCCAAAGGAGAAATATTTTGAAGATGTTTATCAGATGTTTATATCTCCTGCCCCCATCCTACACATACACAACCAAGTCTGTTTCTTCTGCTAGCAAAGAAAAATGGAATGTTCAGCCATCCCTTTCCCTTTTGGGGATAGTTTCAAATAGATGCCCCACCTCTCCATAGTCAAAGCAAAAGTGAAGACCTATCCATGTTTCACGGTCTTGACCAATCCTGGGAGGGTTAAGCATCCAACTCTTGATTCCAGCTCAGGTCATGATCTCAGGATTGTGAGATGGAACTCTGCATCAGGCTCTGCACTCAGCAGGGAGTTTTCTTGAGATTCTCTCTCACCCTCTGCTCCTCCCCCTACCCCTACCTTCTCTAAAATAAATAAATACATTTAAAAAAAAAAAAGATTCTCTCCCTCTATCCCTCTCTCCCCCACTCCCTCTCTTAAAGGAAAAAAAAAGAATCTCAAAGTCTGAATATATAGGTAGATTATTTTTCCTTTGCTTTGCTATGTGGATGTTAACTTGACCTAAGAATCCCAGCAAATCTTCACTCCGAAGTGTACGCTTGCTTTTCTGGTGGGTGGAAGGTAGAGAGAGAGAGTGAATACTGCCAAAAAAGTAGTTCTTTATGGCTTTGAATTCACTACCAACTCCAAATTCAAGATTTTATAGATCCTCACTTAATCTCTAGTATTTTCAACCTCCAGAGCCTACACTATTAGAGCATTTGGTTTGTTCCAACCATAAATTAAACACTTTTCCCCCATTCATGCAGGGTCCCTTCTTAATGTTTCCAGTTTATAGTAGTAAACGCCCCCTGCTAGTGTTTCCAAAGTCTGTTGGATGACGATAGCATAGTATTCCAATCTCCAGTGGTTTCAATCATAGCCAGTAAAAAGAGAGATGAACCCTGAACCAGTCTATTTCCACCACAGACCTCTTCTTTTGGACCAGGAAAGACACCATCTGTAACAATTAGATATCTTTGAAGGCTGGATTAGAATGAATTTTTAGCCTGTTTCTCTCCGAGAGAATGCCTCTATTTGGTGAAATCATGAAATGCTGCTTAAATCTGGTTTCTATCTATAAATATCTAATCTTGAGCCCTGAATTCCCAACTAAAATTCACTTTCTTTATGCCTTAAAGTAATTCCTAACTTGTGAAAGGTTGGTACTCAACCCCTTGAGTGGTTATGGTATAACCTTATGGTAAGGTAAGGTTTGTGGCTTTGTTTTAGGGTAATGATTTAATACGAGGTAGAATTGAATATTTTACCATTGGCCCAAAATCCCATCTGGTAGTCCTTCAAATATATCTCAAATCTAAGACTTTCTTGTTCCTATCCTAATAAGGCCAGCTCAGTGTCACATTAAAAAAATATAAATTCTATTTTAAAAGCATTGAACGGGAGCCTGGGTGGAATCAGTCGGTTAAGTGTCTTGACTCTTGATCTCAGCTCAAGGTCCTGAGTTCAAGCCCTGCGTTGGCGTGGAGCCTACTTAAAAATAAATAAGTAAATAAGCATTGAAAATTAAGTCCTTATGAAGTTTCTTAAGGCAGTGGCAGAGGAGGAAGTCCTTCATTTAATACTATGTAAACTAAAATTTTTCTTTACCCACCATCCCAATCTTTCTCCAACTCAATCTCCCTATTGCACTTATCAGTCAGATGATGGCTTTGATACAGAGATGGCTTCTGGTTCTAACAACACACCTCTATCTTTCTTTTGCAATCTCATGTGTTAGAAAAGGCAGAAACTATGTTGTGGGTTTAACTATAAAAGGCACTTTGGGGAAGTCCTTGACACCCATCTATGGAAGCCTTGCTGCAGCAGTAAGAAAGCAGTTTCTGAGAAGCTGGAGAAGCAAGGCGCTAAAGCCTCTACCCGTTTCCACTGAGGAGTGGTAACTAAGGTTTATGTAGACGGGGAACAAAAATCCTAATTTTTAGAAAGGCTATATTAGTTTGCTAAGGCTGTCATAAAGTACTACAGACTGAGTGGCTTAAACAACAGAAATTTATTTTCTCATAGTTCTAGAGGCTAGAAGTTTGAAATCAAGGTGTCAGGAGGGTTGATTCCTTTGGAGATCCTTGAGGTGAGGACCTGTTCCCAGCCTCTCTTCTTGGCTTGTAGATGGTCACCTTCTCCCTGTATCTTCACATTGTCTTCCCTTTGTAGGTTTCTGTCCAAATTCCCTCTTTTGATAAGGACACCAGTCATATTGGATTAGGACCCACCCTAATGACTTCGTTTTAACTTAAGAACCTCTTTAAAGACCCTATCTCCAAGTACAGTTACATTCTGAGGCACTATGATTTAGGACTTCAACATACAAATTTGTAGGGGGGACATAGTTCAGCCTTTAACAGTGGTTTTCCAACTTTTGACTTGGATACTTATGCTTAAAGACAATTTCTAGAATGGTTTTGAGTTGGTTTTTCTTTTCTCCATTTTCACAAACTCTGAAGCCAGTATTAGCTTACTAAAAGAGAAAAACATGTATAATGTTTGAGATACCGAGTGTTTCATCGGAAAACTGAATGCCACTATAAAGTCTTTGTATCCCCTTCTAATGAATGAAATTAAGGGAATTTCAGGGAACAGAGGTAGGATTAATTGTATGACAGCCCGTATGTAATTTTATCCTTCTATATTGAGAAGCAGTGGTTGAGACATTTTTCAAATATGACTGGCTATACTTGTTTTCCCTCATAATGATAAATTTGTAGTAATTCATCACGTAGTCTTGTCACTGGAAGTATTTGTTAACAATTTTGAATTAAGGTTTTGGCAAGGTTCTGGGATCACTCAAATCTTTACTACTGAAATATTAATCAGGATGCACTACGCTTCCTAGTGTAAAAACCTTGAAGGAGAAAGTAATTCCTAAACATACAAAGAGGTAACTTGACTGTCTATGTTTTTATCTTGTGTCTCTTCCCTCTGTGTTAATATTTGATAAGGTGTTTCATTTATCTGAGACTTCTAAAGTCATAACCAAAGCTCTCTTTGGGAAAACTGGCATCTTCTAATTTAGAGATCCTCTATGTAGTACCAAAACATTACTATATAGTAGCTAATATACTCTATTACAGATGGCAAAAAATAAAGGCTAATGCTGCTTGGGTTTCATTTCTTAGAATGCTCACCATGTTGACTTTTGTTTGTATTATGTGACCAGTGATTTCACTGAAAACCTGCACGATTCATTTTTAGTTGTAGAGTCAATTGACCTTTGTGAAGTATATACCTATGGAGAGTGGGCATTTGACTTGTTTTAACCTATTAGGATTTTGTGTTTTATTTTGTATTAAAGAAAAATTCTGGAAGAAAATAGGTGATGCTGAGTAGGCTGGTTTTTTGGGTGGCTTCTTTTAGTCAGGCTTTCTGTACATTGCGATGTTACGTGATTCATGAACCTGAATCGGAAGCTCTTCAATTCTAAAATTGCCATTAGAAGCCTTTCTTATTTGAGCCCAAGCCAAAGTGCTCTCATTGTTGCTTTTCTAAAAGTTTGGGGTGGGGGGAACCGACAGGTTCACACTTTTTATAATGAGGGAAGAGCATTTTGCCTACCTTATAAAAATGTGATTCAGTGTCTGTCTTTAAAACTGGGTTTTAAAAATTGGATAATACACATAATAGCAGGAGTGAGCCACTTTTATGGGTATCCTATAATTTTATAATTATTAATCTAAAATTAAAATTATGTACTCTTTCTTTCAGAAAACCTACAGAGTACGTGCCACCCTATACACAAACTACATAGTGAGTTG